GGCTTTTCAGAGTTAATAATGACACTCAGATGAGTTTTAATGGAGCACTGTCCTGTTGCTTTTTCTTAATTTAGTGTCACCTTTAAAAGGAAAGCTTGTTGGCATTTCTTACTCCCTGTACCAATGGCTCTAGGCACCAATGGGTGTGCAGGTGTGTTTTATACTGTGTTCTTGGGTTATCTCATGTTAATGAGTGTCTTTAAGAAGTGTGATCAAAACTATGATGAATGCTGCTACTCAGTGCTGTCCAATGAAAAGGCAGGCTCCTCAAAATATTATGGTATGCTCTCATCCCCCCTTATTCACTGGATCTGGAGCTGTGCAACTTCTGGCTTTTCCCAAAGGCAAAATTACCATGAAAGTAAATGTTTTAAATTAATTCCAGACATCAAGGCAGTCGTGAAAAAGGATTTCCAGAACTACTTCAGAAAGTGGCAAGAATGATGGGATAAATGTGTTCAAAATAAGGGAGAACATTTTGAAGGGAGTTAATGGCAATGTATCTTTTGCTGTAATAAATTTTTAAATTTGAACATTAATTTTGTTTTTGCGCATGCCTTGTATATGTGTGATTTATGCTTGTGCATACATTTACATATGCTACATTAATGTAAACATTTGCATATGCACATATATACATTTTCATCAAGCAGGATTATTTTTACTGAAAATACTATACAAGTCTCAAGCTAGCATTTTTGACTCTGGACATCTCTAAAACTTACAGAGTCGTTGGCCCCAATGCTGTCACAGTGTATGACCTTTGTCTAGAGTAACCAATTTTCTTTGCAAATGCATAGTTTACATCTCAGTACTCTAAGTATGTCATCAGCTAAACTCCATTCACTTCATAGCATTGGCCTTATTTGATACATTCATCTCCCATCTATCTGGGGGATGCAACTCTGTGCCTGTGACTTTGATCCTTAAGTCTCACAGTTATTATGTGGTCCCAAAGAAATGAAGAAATATCCCGTCTGGAGTGCTGGTTAGAAAGCAGGAAAGGTCTACAATTAGGTTAGTGTTCACGTTCTCCCAGTGTGCTCAGGAATGCTGGTCTACACCATCAGGGCCATCGCTGACCCTGAAATGTACACAACGGCCCTGTGGCAGGGCTGTTCTTCAGGCTGATGACAGTTTACTTCATGTACACTTCCATTGCCACCACAAGCTGATTGCTAGCTGATCGTTATGTTTATATCTACATGTGTTATACACTTCCATACACAGGTAGTGTGTATATGAAAATATTTATCAAACAGGACTATTTGGGTTTAGTAGGCTTTACAAAGGTCATTGTTTCCCTAATGCTCCAAAAGGCGCCTTAAAATCTCCCAGAACTCCAGACCCAGCTCCTCATTTCTAGTTGAAGGCTCATGACTCTCTTCCTTATGCACACTCCATGTCCTCTAGAGTCCAACTCTGTTGGTCCTCAGGCTCCACAGTCTAGGTCCTAGGTTGGTTATGAACAGGCATACCTCATTTTATTGTACTTTTCTCTACTGTGCTTTGCAGATATTTCTTTTTCCACAAAATGAAATTTTCTAGCCAGCCTATATCAGGCCTCTCAGTCTAACCGTACCCTTTTCAATAGCCTGTACTTATTTGCATTTTTGTATCATGTGTTGGTAATTCTCAGTGTATTTCAAAATTTCAACTACTACTGTAGCTTATTTGGTGGTCCGTGACCAGTGACTCTTGATCTTATAATTGCTGTGGGTGGGACGAACCTCATCCTTGTAAGACAACAAACTTAACTGATCAAAGTGTACTTTGTAACCGCTCCACCAGTCAGGCTGTTTGTTCCTCCATCTCTCTCCTCTTCTTCTGGCCTGCCCCGTCCCCAGTCTATAGCAGTACTGAAGTCACTCCTCTCAGTATCTCTACAATGGCTTCTCAGTGTTCAAGTGAAAGGAAGAGTGTCAAGTCTCTCATTTTAAAAGGTAGAAATGAATAATTTGAGAGAAAAAGGAATGTTGAAAGATGAGCTAGGTGGAAAGCTAGATCTCTTGTGAATGCAAAAAAAAATTCTTGAAGGAAATGTAAAGTGCAGCTTCAGTGAACGTGTAAGAAAGCAAAACAGCCTTATTACTATATTATTAGTAAGGATCAAACTGGGAAATCAAACCAGCTGCAGCATTCTTTTAAACTAATGCTTAATCCAGAGCAAGGCCCTAGCTCTCTTCATTTTCAATTCTATGAAAGCTAAGAGAGGCGAGGAAGCTGGAGAAGAAAAATGTGAAGCTAGCAGAGTTTGGTCTACATTTCCAAGTTTGAGGGAAGAATCTGTCTCCATGCAATCAGTGTGCAAAGTGAAGCAGCAAGTGCTGATGTAGAAGATGCAATAAATTATCTAGAAGAGCTCCTTCCACGTCAGGCACTGATTTCTCCTCTGTAGCTATGAAAGTCCTAGATACCATCTCATCCCATCAGAAGGCTGCGTCGTCTACACTGAAATTCTGTTAGTGTTACTACCTTCAACATTTAGCTTTGGAGGAGTCAGTGCCTTGTTTCAGTTTTGGTAGACCAGCTGACTCTCTTGTTGTAGGCTAATGTAGCTGCTCACATTAAGTTGCGATGCTCATGTGCCCTTCAGAAAATTTATGACTCTCACCAAGCATTTTTGGATTCAAGTGACTTCATTATATGTGCTAGTGCATTTTAAAGACTATAATGTAGGTATCTTTAATATTCTCTTGGAAGTAAAAATATTCATGTGACCTGTTTATAGAAATACGCGCTTTATTACAGTGGTCACAATATCTCTGAGGTATTCGTGTATTTTTCTTTTAAGATACAGCCCTTGGCCTGCTCCTGAGGCTTGGTAGAAACTAAGGGCTTGATCACGACCACATGATTATTATGTGACCTGAAGTGTCTGTTATGCACTGGATGTTATGTGACTCACCTGACCATAAAATTGGGCAAAAACGCTCACTAGAGGGAAAACTTATCAGAAGATGATTTTAGTAATTGAAAGTATGGAATGACTCTGGAGTGGTGTTCTACACAGACAGCTCATATTTTTCCCCAGCCACCCTTATCATTGCCCTGACCTTACACATAGAGAGTCCACGATAGCAGGGGTCGGGGTTATGCACGAGCTTACCAACATGAAAATCCCTCATCGCCAATGTCACTATGGCATAGCTTGCTGCCCACTGTGCCAGCAGCAGAGACCAGCACTGAACCTGAAATACAGAACCATTTGCAGGGATGTTCAGTTGACTACAGTTTGGCTATACTGGTTGCCTCTGCCAAGGAAGAGGAAAAATTTTGTCCTTACTGGAATAGACTTTTACTTTGGATACGGACTTTCCTCCCCTTCATACAGCAATTCTGCTAATCCTGTCATCTCTGGTCATGTAAAATATCTTATCCAGTTGGTAGTATTGCAAACAGCACTGTTTCCGACCAAAGAAGTATGGGAAGAGGCCACGCTCATGGATTTCACTGATATTACTCACTGATTCCCCACCATTCTTGAAGCGGCTGGCTTCATGTAATGATGAAAGAGACCTCTGAAGATACATTTTGAGCACAGGCAGGACTGAGGCAAGGTTTTCTAAGCACTCTCAGTCTATTTTTCCAAAGGCTTAGGAATCAGTGGGTGGTAATGGGAGTGACACCAGTGACCCACTAGCAAAAGCATTGCTTCCTTTCTCCATGACTCCATGCTCTGTTGCTAACCATCAGCTGTTCTGAGTTCTGAGCTCAGTTGTTCCCTGGCCAAGATGGTGATGGGCCTTGGGAAAGTGGGAAGGGTAGGGGAAAGGTAATAAGGGAAAAGAAAGAAAGTGAGAAAATGAAACAATGGAAATAAAGTGTTTGTAAATGGGGAGGGTAGGAGGGGGTGAAGGGAGGGCAGGGACAAGGAGAAAAAATGAGAACCAAGACCTGTCATGTAAAAGTACAAGATCCCAATAACGAATGTAACTGTACTATATACCTAAAACGTACCAATAAACTCAATGAGAAAAAAAAAAGGTGGTGATGGGCCAATCACCATCTCCTGGGGAACGTCTGAACCTGAGTAACTCATGAGACACTGCAGTCCGCTGTACCCCTTGCTCTGTTCCAGTGGTGTGCTTCTCTGTGGAGGCCTCTGGGGTCACCAGTAGTCACCATACACTTGCCTCCCATCCCATGTCTCAAGCCAGAGATCAGGGAGCAAGTGTTGCTTGCCACCTGCTTCTTCTGCATTGAGGTCTCTCTCTGCTCCCCCAGTGGGCTTCGTTTCCCATTTTCATTTCTTCATTTCAGACCCCTGCTGCGTGCTCTGGACCCCCTTTCCTCCTTCTTTTCTTCCTCACATTGCTGTATTCCCGTGTCTTAGCACCAAATCTCAGAAAGGCTATTTCTCCGCTGTTCACCACTCTGGTATCTTCCCGGAAGTCCTGTGTAGCCTCTTAAAATTTCATTTTAAATGATTTTTTTTCTGTTCTTATTTTAATAATTGCTTAATGTACAGGGTAACACTCAAAACTTCTTTTTTCCAGCTTTGAAATAAAAACTTCACGTATACAAGTAAAACAAAAACTGATGCTTTGGCTGGACTTTGCTGAATATGCAGAGGGAAAGATAATGAATTTAGGGTGGATTTATCTAATGCACAGTGTGTCCAAAGAATACTAAGTAGAAGTAATGGATTCTAAATACAATTTACATAAAATAGTGCAGTACTTTGTACAATAATTAATTTTTATTTTAAAATGAGGCTCCACTCATTAGGGTTGGGCGCACTGGGTTGGTATAATAGGCAATGGGATGTTCTTGAAGGCCTGAGAGTACCATACTCTAAGCCACAGGGACAGACTGAATTTATCCAAAGGAATGAAGGGCTAGTTGCTTGTCTATTTATCCATCTGTCTATGTATCTATCTATCTCTCTTCTATTTACATTATCTATCATCAATACATTATGTATTTATCATTTGTATATTTTTATACAAAGACAGATACAGAATAATACTGATCTAAACAAAGATAACAATGAGATGATCAAGTATTTGGAGGTCAAGTGGTTGAGGAGAAAGTAACAGCAAGAAGTACCTTAAGAGATATTCAAGAGATTGTGTCCTGGGACCATTTTTATTAAGTAAGGAATCGTTTTTTGTTGAATCTGGTATACTTGATTCCTTGTACAGAAGAATTCTTATAAAGTCAGGAAAGATTTCATCAACATTTTGTGTTTTTCATTCAACTCTTCACTCACTCCTTTAGATGAGACCGTGATGTTGATAAGCCTAAAGATATTAAAGAGGCTGCATGACAATTGAAGAATAATGACAGAAACAAAATTCCAGTATCAGACACTGCATCTAACAAGATGAGTAGTAAGTACTCATTAAACATGTTTGTATGCTTAATTCAGTATAACAAATAAACATTTATCTAACATGTTTAAAGCTTTGTTACTGAGCACTAGTATTTTAGTTGATATTCATATTAAATATAATATACTTGCAAATCATTCTGCAAGTTATTTTATCCCATCCCTCATTCAAAAGACTTATAATATGAACAAATTTGAAAAAATAATAATATTAGAATTGCCACAAAATTCCAAGACTGGGAAAATTTAAGAGTAGGAATTCAAAAATAAGAAATGTGTTACTCTTTCACTGTTGAGATACAATATCTGACACCACAACTTAAAGGAGGAAAGGTTTATTTTAGCTTATAGATTATAGAGGATTCAGTCTATAGTTGGCTGGATTCAAGGTAGGAAGCTATGGTGGGAGGTTCTGGTGCAGGACAGGTACTTACATCCTGGAAGCCAGGAAGCAGAGCATGATGAGAGGAGCCAGGGAAGGTGACATGTCCCCTCAGTGACCTGCTTCTTCAGACAGAACTTGCCTCTGAACAGCAGGTCAGCCATATCGCTGCCATGACTCCATCACCTTCCAAAAGCCCGGCTTGTGATCACGTGAGGTTCTTGGGGGACATCTAGACATAAATCATAGCAAGAAAGGTCACACAGAAAAAGAAGATAGAAAATGCTCATATTTCTGTAGTTGAATCTCAACTTTAGCTCTGAACTTTGTATAGGAAGTAAAAATGAATATTATTAGCGTCATCAGGAAAGTATAAACTCTTTGAGGCTATGTCACAAAAAGGAATTGCTTAGGCAGGCTTCTAAAAATGGGTGTTATACAGTGCTCTTTGACATTTAAAATGGCAGCAGTATTGATATACTAAAATATCATAAATCCCCTTTTAAAATGTACAGGTTAGTGGTTTTACTACATTCAAAATTGTGCAGTCACCACTGTTAACTTCAAAATATTTTTGCATCCCCAAAAGAAGCACCATGCCCTTTGGCAGTCACTCTATAATCAGTCAAGTTTCTCTAGAGAAGTGGAACCAATAGGATAGATATCTAGAAACAGATGCAAGAGGAAATTTATTGTAGAAGTCAGCTCATAAACTATGGAGGCCAGAAAGTCCCACACACAACCATCTACAGCTTGAGAACATAGAAATCTGATAGTGGAACTCAGTCTGAATTTGAAGGCCTGAGAATCTGGGTGGTTATGGTAGTCATAGGGCAATGGCTTAAACTCCAGTGTGATTCTGAAGGCCTGAGGACTATCAGTACCTGAGCTCAGAAGAAGCTCAAGCAGAGAGCTGGCCTATTCATTTTCACTATGTTTTTTTGTTTTATGTAGGCTGATTCGATGCTACCTGTCCACATTGCGAAAGGTCATCGCTTTACTCAGTTGGCCATTTCAAATGCTACTCTCCTCTGGGAATAACTCTCACAGAAACATCAGAAGTAACATTTTATGACTTATTTTGACATCCCTTCACCAGGGCAAGTTACTGTCACTCTCCTCATTGTCATCTCTACCCGATCCTGGGCACCAGTATTTTATTTTTTCTGTCTCTATGGATATGCTTATCCTGGACATTTATATAAGTAGAATCACACATTCATGACTTTTTTCCCCCAGTAACAGGGATTGAACTCTGGACCTTGCACTTGCGAGGCAGGCAGAATCCAATATACATTAAATAACTTGTACAGTTAACAAGAGAAAACATATAACTCAAGAAATAGACAGATTAAATGAATAGGCGTTACTCCAGAAAAGATGGACAAATGGGCAATGCAGCATCATTAATCGTTAGAGTAATGAAAATCAAGGAGGGGGTGAAGGGAGGGCAGAGGTAAGGGGAAAAAATGAGAATCAAGACTTGCCATGTAAAGGTACATGATCCCAACAATGAATGTAACTGTACTGTATCCCTAAATGTACCAATAAACTCAATTAAAAAAAAAAAAAGCAAATGAGCTATCAGTTCATTACCCACTAGGGTGATTATTACTAAACTAGCTCCCTAGCTAGGTGAATACACAAATAACAATGCTAGTGAAGGTGTGGAAACATTGAAACATTTCTGCATTGCTTGGGAGGATATAAAAGATACTATGGAAAATGGTATGGCAAATTTCCAAAATATAGAGAATTATCACATGACCCAGTAATTCAATTCCTGACATATACCTAAAAGCAGGTTCTGAAACAGAAACCGGGACACTATTTTCATAGCAGCATTACTCACAAGAGTGAAGTGGTGGGAAGAATTCCATCAACAGATGAATGATAAATGTGATAAGTACATCTGTGTCTATATTTGCAGTTATATCTGCATCTGTGCAGTAGGATGTTAAGCCTTAAAAACAGGGCTCTGATACATTTCAAAACATACATGAACTCTGAAAAGGTTGTGTTAGGTGAAATAAGCCAGTCACAGAAAGGCAAACCTTGGGCGACTCTGCTTCTGTGAGGATCCCTGGGAATCCAGCGCGTCAGGGTTCTGGCGTACGCAGTGTCTTCAGAAGTTTTCACCAAGAAGGGAGGTCTCCACAGTAGGGTACCACCTCTTTTCTTGCCTAACCTTGGAAGTGTTTTGGCACCAGGAAAGATGTTTCATGTCATGATCACGAGATTGTGATGAGAGTCAGCACGGCCTCCGGCCCAGGTCCAGCTGCTCTGGAGGCCCCCTCCACAGCCGGAAGCCTGTCATCCCTCAGTGGGCAGCAGCTAGGAGTCTGTGGTTATCACTATGGATAGTCTAACACCTGCAGGCAAGCTGTACCTGTAAGAAGATAAGTCTGATAGGACAGTATGCTCTGAACGGTTCTGGTGTTCTTTCTGCTGACAGGTAGAATACGGATACATATTTGTTTTCACCTTTAACATTTTCAATAAACTTTATTTTTAGAAAACTCTTATATAAAAATTGTAAAGTTACAACAGGCAGTTCCCTATATAACTCCTATGAGGTTTCTTATTAACATTTCCCCCTTAAATAGATGGCCCATTTGTTATAGCTGACAATCCAATGTGGACATATTCTTATTAAAGATTGTTGCTACCTCGTTTAGGTTCCCTTGACTTCATCTGAAGTCTTTTCTCTATCCCAGAATCCCACCAGGAGGGCATCTTCGGTTGCAATGTTATATGTACTTGCGATTCTACATTATAATGAAGTTGCCATGTTCCATTAGGCTCTTTATAGCTGTTTCTGATTTATCTTATTTTTGTTGACCTTGATGATGCCGAAAAGTACTGGTTGGGAAATCTGCAGAATATGTATTTGTCAAAAAAAAAAAAGATTTCCATTTGTCTGCTGTTTTTCTGATTATTCAACTGTGTATATGTGTTCTGGGAAGGAAGACGGTGCTAAACTGCCATATCCAAGCACACATATCCAGCACACATACTACGCACACTGATGTTGAACTTGACTGCCTGATAAAGCACTTTGTCTGGTCTTTTCACAGAAGGTTACTCTTTCCCATCTTCCATGCTGTACTTTTTTGAGAGGAAGTCACTATTTGCAGCATACATTTAAAGTGTGGGGAATGGATCTTTAGAGTGTTTTTTACACAATAAATTCACCTCAATTTATGCATCTGTCCCTCATCTACTTATATCAGTGTGAGCTCATGGGCTTTTTTTTATATTGTGTGTTATAATCCAACACTACGCTTTCTATTTTGTTCCCACTTTGACCCATGGGAGCTCCTTCGGTTGCCTCCTGGGTCACTGTGATACGTTGCTATCATTGTGGCCTTTAGTTTTCTTTTTGCACTGTATCACTTTCTGCCAATGCAAGATGTTTCAGGTTCATCTTACATATTTCCTGTTCCAATCTTGTAATCAGTCATCTTTCCACAGATGTTAGTTCCTTTTATTGGAGAATGATGTTGTCAGTTTGTGGAGTTCTAAAAAATCTTCATTTCTGAGAACAGCTTAGTTCCACAGCAAAATTCAGCAGAAAGTACAGAACATGTCCATGCACCCCTTTTCACTTCCTCTTCTCCTATTAACCTTTTGTGCCAGGTAGGTACATTTGTTACAAACATACATTGACATATTCTTATCACACAAAATTCCTAGTTGAACTTATTGTGTAGATTTTTTGTCTTGAATAGGCCTTGAATTTTACACAATGCTTTTTCCATATCTATTGAAATGATCCTAATATATTTCTTATTTAGTCTATTAGAGTGATAAATTACAATGACGTGTTTTAAATAGTAAGCTAGTAGTATATTCAGAAATAGTTTGCATTTTTTCAAGATGCATTATCCTCTTTTTACATTTCAGGATTTGATTTACTAATATTTTGTAGAAAATATTTGTGATTAGGTTCATCAAAGCTATGGGTGCATAATTTTCTTTTGCTGTAATGTCTTTATTTGGTTTGGGGATCAGAATAATGTTGGACTCACAAAATAGTTTAGGAATTTTTCCTCTGCTACTGTTTTCTAGAATATATTATAGATAATAGAGAATTATTATTTTATTGATAGAATTTACCAGTGAGATCACCTGAGCTTGAGCCCTTGCTTTTGGGGAAGGTTTTTTATGATTAGTGCAATTTAAAACATATGTACAAGACTATTCTGTTTCTCCTTGGATGATTTTATTAGTTTGTATTTTCAATGAAATGGTACATTGTATTTCAGGTATTAAATTTATTGGCACAAAGTTGCATGTAGATATTGAGAAACTTTAGAATATACATAGTACCAGTAATGCATAATGATAAACCCACTTTCTCTGCTGATCTTAACAATCTGTTTTCTCTCTCTCTCTCTCTCTCTCTCTCTCTAATCTATCTTGTTTTTATACTGAACAAGGTTTTCAATTTTATTGATGCTTGGGAAGAACAAGCTTCTAGTTTTGTTAAATTTGTCCATTATTTTTATGTTTAAATTTTTATCAGTGTCTGTTCTAATTTGCATTAGTTTTGTTTCCTGTGTTCACTTTAGATTTCAGTTTCTATTCTTTCCCAAGCTTCCTAAGGCACAGAGTAGTTTATTTATTTTATTAGTTCCTACTTTCTAATATACATCTATAGCCCCTTCATGCTATAAATTGCCTTCTAGGAATTTCTTTAGCTTTATCCCATCAAATTTCATAAGCTTAATTTTCATTTTAATTGAGTCCAAATTATTTCTTCAGTTTTCCTCTCTAGCCCATGGTTATTTGGAAGTTTCTATCTCTATGCTGACATCCTCATTTTGTTCTTGTGCATAATCTCATCTTTCCCCATTAGAGCCTTTGACATATTTGTCATTGTTATTTTACATCACCTCTCTGGTCTTCTAACTGATGTGTCATAGGAGTATGTGCTGATTAGCATTCTGGGACTGTGATAAGACACTTGAGAGTATTTTATGAGCCCGGTGGCCTAATTTTCTTCCACTCAACCATGCTTTCCAAAGGCTGCACTGCTTCCCAATAGCACCACAAAGACTGAAGCACTTAGGCTTTTGGAGAACATTTCAAACCAAAAGTACAGCAACCTACTGCTGTCCCCAAGGGTTTATATCCATCTTACAATGCAAAATTCACTTAGCCCATTTCCTAATGTCTCCAAAGACTTAACTTCCAGCACTGCTCAAAAGTCCAAGTCCAAAGCCCCCCATTAGACTGAAGGCAAGCTCAGCTATGAGCCCTTATAAAGATGAAAAAGAAAGTTATACCCTTCCAAGGTATAATGCCATGGGGTAAGCATTCTTATGCCAAATGGGATGAATAGGAAAACAATAACAATGAATCAGACCAAGGCAAGACCGAAGCCCATCAGGATAGCACTGAAGCCTGTGGCCACTAGTCCAGCATCTTAGGCATGCAGTAGCATGATATGACCTCCAAATGGCTTGGGCAGCTCCACTCCTGCGACCTTGCTAGCTACATCTTTCATGGGCTCTTGCTTGGGCTGGATATGCTAATAGTCTAAGGTTTACTTTGGTAGGCCTTCCATGTTCCTGGCATCTCTAATTTCCTGGTGTGTCCACTGAAGCTCTGGTATAATCTTGATAGCTTAATTACACTGTCAAGAATTGCTTGCAGGCTTTGATTCTACCACACACTACCTGGCATGTCAGGTTTTCCTTTGTAATATTGGTAGAAGCCTCCATGACTTTTGTGTTCTGCATACCTGCCCAATTAGCATCACATGGAAGATCCTTAGGTCTGCCACTGGTGCAAGCAGTACTGGGGGCCACTTGGACCACAGCTGCAGTGGCTTTTATGTGCTTTGATGACTGAACCTGGGTAAAGAATTCCCTAGGTGCCCCTGTGTGAGAGTCAGCAGCCTAGGGGGCTCTCTTCTTAAACCCAAGTCTTTTAAGTAAGTTTATACTTTTATAATTTTGAGTTAGCGTAGTCTGCAATGGGTGAGGCCGTGTCTTGCTAATTCTTGAGACATTGTCAAGGCATTTTTCCTATTGTCTTATTGCAAAGCACTTGGCTTATTTTTGATGGCACTATTAATCTCTTTAGCAACTTCCACCTTCTGAGTATCATGTTTAAATATGCTCCCTTTGTGGGTAAACTCCAAGTTTTTGAAAAATTTTTGCTACATTTTTGCTCCTGATTCTCACCATAATTTAAACTAAAAGAAGCCAGTCATGCCCCTGACAATGCCTGGGCACTATTTTGTCTGAGAATTTCATTTTTAAGACAAACACATCAGTCACCTTTAAATGAAACCCCCGCAGAGCCTTAGGGCATGGACATACTGCATTCAAATTCCCTGTCACATTGTGAAAAGCATGCCCGGTAATCTAATCCCCAACAGAGCCCTTATTTCAATCTGAAATCTTATCAGCCTGACCTTTACTATCTGCATTTTAATCATCATTCCTGTCTCTGCTCTCTTATCAGGACCTCCTTTTCGTCTGCATCTCCAAATATTTCCAAATGTCTGCTACATGCTAATTCAAAAGGTTCTGATCCACATCATCAGCTATAGTCACACCGGTGACTCCTCATCATTACACCAACTTTCCATATTAGTCAGCTTTATTATTTCTGGGACAAAATACTTGACACCTGCAATTTAAGAATTTTATTTCGTCTCAAGTTTCAGAGGTTTCAGTCCATGGTAGGCTAGCTCCAAGGCAAAAACATCATGGTGGAAGGACATTTCAGGTCAAAAGGTTACCTTGGCTCAAGGTTTCAAAGGATCAGTCCATGATTGTTTGGCCTGTTGTTTCAGGTCCTGTGGTGAGGAAGTACAACACACTGAAGCACATGGTCAAGCAAAGCTTCCCACTTCATGGTGGACAATAAGTTAGAAAGTTAACCAGGCAGGAGTCATCATATATCCTTCCAGAGCACACCTTCAAAGACCTAACATCTTTCCACTAGGCCTCAACTGACACCAATGACACCATGAGCTGGGTACCACACTATTAATACTCGGTTCTTTGCAGAACATTTTAGACCTGAATTCTAGCAGACTGATTCTGATCATTGTTTTTTCTTAAGATTGCACCTTTTTTTTTTTTTGCCTTTCTTGTGTCTTACAATATTTTTCTGAAAGTCAAATGTAATTTGCTAGGTTGTAGGAAGTGAACTAAGTAGGCCTTTAGTGTCAGAATTTATATCAACCTGATCCTGGGTGGAGCTGTATTCAGTGTTGAGTGTAACTGTAATATGTAAGGCTGCAAGTTCCCCTAATATCTTTGTTTCTTCCTATCTTTTCTTGGCATAATGATTTTCCTAAACACTGCTTCTTGTAAAAATACTGAGTCTTTCAACTCTTTCACCTATTATCAATAATTGTTTTTTGAG